CACGACTCTTGCCTACCGTCCTGGTCTTCCTCTTCACTGGACACGTCGTTTTCGACGTGTACTCTTGACATGTTCTCCCNGGCACTCTCCGGCAAGGACATCTTCTTGACCACTTCCATGGGACTGCTGCTGCTGCCAGCCTGGTCTCCACCTTTGCTCTTCTGGCAATCCGAGCACTCTCTCTGCTGTCCGTAGCCTTCCTCTCCGATGCCCCGACCACAAAACGCGCGCATGGATCGCCCGCACGGGCACTGGTGAACCGCTGACACGAGTTGAGACTTTTGCTGGCACGTGGGTTCGCCACATGGCCTCAAGCCGGCAGCTGACGACCCGCCAGCAGATGGGAGGAATCTCTCCATACCCACACGCAGTAGTGTGGGCTGCAGCAGACCGCTGTCGATGTTACAATGCCTTGCAGATTTGCTGTCCCAGCAAAATTTTTTGGGGGGGGGGGCGCATAGTGGAAACGATACCCCCCTATATTATTGTACATCTGCGGGGCACCATTTCCTGGGGAAAAAATGTGTCTTTATAGCGGGGAGTTTCCTTAAGAAGAGTGTCTTTAAAGCGGGGACGACTGTACATATTTTTTCACAGCGGTGGTGGGGGCACGACAAATCGTAATTTACCGGTTCCGCCGCGTTTTTGGTGAAACGGTATGTTCGGCATAACTCGTCACCAAGGTGTCTGTGAAAGCAAAAAGTGGGCTCATTCGAAAGCCCTGGTTCATAGCTTTCGAATGGTGTATATTTTGTTGGGTAAATAACCAGGCCCTAGAGAGAAATTCATCAAGTGGCCTGTGGGCGGGTCCAGGAAAACTACAACTTTAGTCGTGACATAATCGTCGTGTCGCTCATCATGTGGGTTATCTCTTCTCGGAATAAAGAAGCAAACAGGAACGGAAGGTACCATGTATGCATACCAGTTTTGATGGATCGCTCGGTGCCCGTCCCCGGAGAGACTGCAAGTAAGGTTGACGTAAACCCGATGACAGCAGCTACTTTTTTTTTTTTTTCCTGAAAGATTTCAAGGATTCGAACGACGACGCGATGCACGCATGCCCGAGTTTTTTTTCGTGTTCAATTCATTGATTTTTGTTAGAGAGGGGGACATTTGTGAGCACAAAGCGCTCGAAGACTACCAGCTGTGGTTTTTCTCTGCACCACACACACACACATAGCCTCCCCCACGACGCCCCCTCACGGAGTCCGAGATGATGATGACCTTCAACCACTCTCTGTTTTCAACCGCACTGAGACTAACTACGTCTTTTGATTGATTGTTCAGCCGATTGGATGCAAATAGTAACGACACAAACAGGTTAACCCGCAGAACTTCAACTCAGAATTCTGGGGCAGGGTGAACCAGTCAACCCATCACCATCGCCATCTAATGCCTCCCATACCAAGCCGTAAATAGTAGTAGTCCTGCCGCGCACGATGAATGGGTTTGATAACTTCCCCCCCTGGATAGCGCCACCTCCCGCCTTGACCATCCGGCTCCTACAATAGGCTATGGTACTCTAATATTACCAACTAGCCGAGTGACGAGACCACACATAAAACAATAAATAAATCCTAGCAGTCATCCTCACACGGGCAAACAAACACGAAATGCGGCCATGGACGATAGTAGAAAAACTGTTTGTGCCAAAAACCAACGATTGTATTTGATTGAATGTTAGTAAAGCACAGCACCAAACACCTGTTGCACCTCCCCAACACCAAAATTCAATCAATTAATATATACATGACGCATCCATCTGTCACACAGTCAGCTATCAAGCTTTCGTAGTAACGCAGGCTGCATCGGACCGACGTTTTTTCGGAATACCTACCAGCCAGGCACCCATGCATCGTGCACGGCTCTTGTCTCTTTTTCCGAGTGAAAATCACAACCAGCAAAGCCTGTTTCGGACGCAAAACAAAAACCTGTACAGGCACCTACCGTCGGTCCCATATTACTCCGCATGAAACTCTTGCTGCACATGCCATGGCAAAGAATCTTGAGCACGTCTTTTGGCCTTCGGACGTTTCTCCTCGCAGCAGTACAAATGAAACAAAAACTGACGGAAGAAAATAAAAGAGTATCAGAATCTTCGATGCTGAAGAAGGAAAGCACAAACAAATCATCTACTACAGACCATACCACAACTTTCTGGTGAAATATAGATCTGCTCACCATCCTGAAGGAATCCTCACGACGTGTGGCTGCAACCCACGAACCGGGAACTTCATTCAGTTGAAGATGGACAGATGGTATTAAGGTGAATCGCGTGACCGTTGCCTAGGCTTCGTGCCGAGTTGGTGAAAACAAAGCCAGCTATTGATACCACCCCCCCTCCCACAAAAACAAATCGAAACGCGTTGGACGGCAAGCCCCCGGGGCGTGTGCCCGCCTCCCCCCAATACAGACGCACCCCGTTTCTCGCACGTTGCTGGTTGTGGCTGCTGCTGCTGCTGCTGCTGCTGCGCGCTGTCCGCCACTCACCTGCGTCAAACCGCTCTCCCCGTCTACTTCACGAGACATGCAGATCATGTTCTGAAACTATGAGCTACGCAGGTACGCCTAGTCTAGGATGCGGAACCAAAAAGCGAAGCAAGCAGACTTGAGAAGAGAGAGACACCTGCACCCGTTCCGGCCACCAGAGGAGCCTCGAGCATAATCATCGAGATGACGCACAGGTCAGCACACAAGCATGCTACAGCTATGCTGGCTCGGAACCAAATACAGCCAGCCGCCGTTGTCGATAAGACTAGTATGAAGTGACGGGAGCGTATGCATGCTTCCATGGTCCCTGATTCTTTACATCATCGCATGCCGTGCCTGAAATCCTGATAGCTGCTGCTGCTGCTGCTACTGCTGCCAGCCATTTGCTCTCGTTTCTCACACGTGATTACACCCGTCGATCTTTCCTTTCTTCTTGTCCTTCTCTACGGACCCCTTGTTTCCATGAAAACCTTGAAAGACCATAATACCCGCGCCATTTCACACGATGCAATCCACGTTCACTCCCCAGTGGCAGGCCCTAAGGCCGTAGCATTGCAGCGCACCATCAAGGGGCGAGAGAACAAATGAATGTCCACACCATCACGCGCTTGGCAGTGATTGTAATTATCCTACCTCCCACCCCCGAGAAGGAGAAAAGGTGCCCGCAGTTTTCTGATTGGCCGAAAATCCCTGGTCGACATGTGATGTCATCCACGGCGGGTTCACTTTTTGACCGATCAGAAAACTGCGGGCATCTTTTCTCTCTCTCTGCCAACAAAAAGTTCACGTGAACATACGAAGGGTATTGTACCAAAGACAAGGGTTAACTCCCAAACGAAAAACGGGACAAAACAAAACAACACAAAACCTGTCGTCCTTGAAAAAAAAAACGCGCCAGCGATTCACTGACTGCTGCTTGTCACAGCTCTCCCCCGCGGGCCCCTGTCGACTCCGGGGATGAAAAGTCCTGCCCTTCCTGCAGCCCCCCGCCGCGCCCGCGCCCTCTCTGGCCTGCCGCGAAACCCCGACTCGCAACGGCCGCCGGCGTGGGGATGCTGTTCGGCCGCAACCCCGGCGCCAGCGGGTTCATGATGCCCCCCCTCACGTCCCCGGCGGCGGGGCCCCCGATCCCAGACAAGGGTCCCCCCACCCCCGGCGGCCCCCCGCCGACGCCCCCCGGCTCCGCCCCTCCCAAGTGCACGCGTCCAACCATGACCCCTGTCCCCGGTGGGTTCCCCAACACCACCCCGCCGCCGCTGTCAGGGAGGCCGCCGCCGGGGGCGGCCGGTGGCACGACGGAGGGATTCCACCCGGGCCCCACGCCCAATACGCCTCCGCCGCCTTCGCCGCCGCCGCCGAGCCCACCGCCGTCGGCACCCCCCCCCCCGCACGCGGTGTGAGGAGGCAGGTCGTTCACCCCCACGTCCATGTGGCTGTGGTGGTTGTAGACGCCACCGCCGGGCGTGGATGTGGTGTCCATCTTGCTCGCGCAGCCGCTGAAGGTGATGCTGCAACCCTCTTCGTTGTTGTTGTTGTTGCTGTCTTCGAAGCAGCCCCTTACTCTGCGGGCTGTTCTGAATGGGGGGTCCTGGATCATGTCTTCGGACGGCGGGATTTTCCCTCGGTATATCGCCTGCAATGGTAATGGTAGGTCGTGGGTTTTAGGCGGCGACGTTTTCGGGTATCGCTGTTGTGGTGGTGGATGGTGGTGGATGGTGGTGGATGGCATCGCCGGGTGTTGGGGAAGGTAGCCAAGAACCCCCCAAGACAGGCAAGAACTTGACTCATGTAACACGACAGAGTTCTCTTCGCTCAACCATCGTCCACATTGCCCCGTCCCCTACCGTCCATCGCACCCCCCCCCCATCTCTCAACAGAACCGCCGCGAAAGGGAACCTAGCTAGCTATTAGCACCAAGCGGTCGACACCACCATCAAGAACAGCGTCCACCCACACACCTCCTGTCTTGGAAGCTCGGCCACCGATACGTCCATCTCCGTGACTCCTCTTGAGTGCAGGTACGGGAGCGTGAACTCGCGCAGCAAGCGGGAGAACAGGAAGTGCGACAGCTCCTCGGCGGTGGAGTTCACCAGCGGTAGCAAGGCGCAGTCATCCTGGACAGCAGCAAGCAGGTCCGTNGGGGGGGGGGGGGGGGGGGGGGGGGGGGGGGGGGGGGGGGGGGGGGGGGGGGGGAGCGGTGGTCTCCTGTTAGCCGACAGTACGATGACGACGACATAGTGCGTAGTTCTGGGGCATTCGCCGTGAAAACGAAGAGGGTTGGTGCACCCTAGGGGGCATGGTACCCCAGAGGGTCCGGAGATTGTACAGACGATCGTCTCTACAACGTGCAGCAGACAGCCAATGCCGCAATTGAAGCCCTGAAAGACGTGCAAGCATTCACGTTCACGCACTCCAACGTTTGTATCGTGTTTGTTGTCTGCTCGCCCGTGCCGCTGCACGCACACACCAACGAGACGCACAAAGCATAACAATACAGCACACGTCCGGCGCAACTACTACTGTGGCCTGGAGCAGTAACGTTAGGCATCTTGAACCAAGAAAGCAAGGACAACACGCGAGAAAGTCAGCAAGGAAAGGAAGGAACGTAGGCCGTCCGGCCGGTGCTTTTTCCTGTCCGGTCTCGATCTTCGAACTTTATTCTTCCGCTGCTGTTCCTTTCTACATCCAGCGACGTTAAGGTTTCGGGTTCTCTCTCGGGGAAGTGACGCCATCGACATCTATCTAGCTACCATCTCCCGGTGCCATGCGGCGTTGGTAGATATGTGGACTGCCTACGCCAAAAATCAATAAAAAAATAGAAGCATAATTTATTACCCTAACCCCAGTTTAGCCGATTCTATACTTTATTCAGTATGTTTGCTTACTTGGAAAACCTGCGTAGACTACCGGGGGTGATCGATGCCTATTACATCACACGTCACGTGGCAATAAATTTTCATGACAACGCGTGCGTATGCGTACGGTGAAAAAACAAGACGTCTGCTGCACCATAGCAAGTACGTTGTGCAGAAAAAAAAAAAGTGTAAACAGCACATGTCCACACGAAGCAACGCAGGTAACGACGTCGAATCACACAACGAACTAACTCCCTTCTCACCCGCGGAAGCACGAAAGTTGCCCCGTCCTGGCAAACAATCACCACCTGTCGGGGGGAACAACGACCATCATGCACGCGAGCACTTGAGAATGACCAAGTCTTCATCGGTCAGACGGGAATACATTATTTTTTTTTCCCATCATTGGACTCTGTCTGTCGTCTGCCCCTCTGGTCCCCATCCCCCCCTTCTACCAGCTAGACGACCCAACCGGGGTAACATAGGAAGGGGGGGGTTGGACCCCCTCCTGCGGTTCTTGCCTGAGATATTTTTATCGCGAGAAGGGTACAGCAATCCCTTCCCTATGTAGCGCGGGCGATGATGCTAGCAAAATAGACAACAGGTCAGCCCAGCTACTTTGACGTGGTCGATGTCGACGGAGGAAACACGTGGATGCACACACGAACATACACACACTTTTCTTCTGTTATTGTTACGGTATCTGTCGCTAGCCCGGAGAGTAGCATAGCCTCGCCCCATGCCGCCCCCTCACGGGATCCCAAATCATGGCCAACAGCACTGAGACTGGCGCCTTTGTCACTGGCCGGCCGGTTAGCGCGGTCGATGCTATAATAATAAAAAGAACACGCGCACGGCAGTTGGACACACAACATCAACGACTTCGAAATCATAAATAAACGTTTGTACACTTTTGCACCCCTACCTGAGAGCCGGTCAGGGTGATATCGAGAGCGTCGCTCTCCATGGGGCACAGAAACCGCTCGTTGAGCCCCTTGCACAGCTTCCGCATCACCTGCGCGATGCGCGGGACAAAACAAAAAAGCAACCACGCGAACCCAACACGCGCGCACGCACGCATCGCGTTGCGACCGAAACACATGGTAAAGTGCAGCAGTTAGTGGGGAGCGGGTCAGTCAGCACGAACAAAAGCCACCCTCTTCTGGCGTCCGTTTGGTTTGTTTGTCTGCCCCACCCCCTCCGTGTCTTGGGAAGTTGTAGACCAACCCACGTGCGTGTGCGTACCACGGGACAGAAAAACTCGCTGTGCCATCCAAACGGGTTAGTTCGTTGTTGTCTGCTGTCGGTGTGGTTGCTGCTGCATCCCGCTGCACACAAGAGAGAGCAAGGCGAGATAATCTACCCCAACACGTACAAAATGGATGCCACAGGGCCGCCGCCAGCACGGGTTTTGTATACCTTACCTTCTTCACAATCCCGAAATCCACCACGTAGCCGTCCTCGCAAACCTGCAAACATCGGAAAACAGGAAAAGATTCACCGACGGCGGGTTGCATCGCATCAGCACGGGACAAGACAGGAGGGCAGGAGGTCTTACATTGCATAACATTACATTTCACTACATTACATACATCATTACAAATGAAAACATCAAACTACATACATAACACGCATTCCATTGCATTGCAGTACATTGCACTAAAGCAGTAGAGGTAAATAAATTACAGTACACTACACATTACAGCTGGGAGGGCACTGACTGCTGAAAGGGTCGCTCGCCGCGCGGAACGGCAAAAACAACCAGAGGGGGAGGAGAGGCCACCCCACCCCCCAACCCCCCCCGTTCCCGGAGTGGGTCTTCCCTCATGTTTTAATTATGTTCTCCTGGGAATACGACTCCCCAAGGCATCTATCTTCGTCCGCGGTCTGGCTTGGCTGCCTGGCTGCTGCAGCCGCGGCAATTTTTTTCGGGTTCGCGCAGCAGAGCGCAATTACCAGCAACACTGCTTCGGGAAACCCCGAAACGTGTGAAAATCTACAAAAAAACAACCTATGAGACGGTTGTCTCCAGGTTCACGTGTGAGCAAGTTCCCTTTGGGATGTGTGGTGTGGATGCACACCGGTTCAACCTCTGGTGGAGAGGCTGACGAGTACGGATAGTTGTGTTGAGCTGAGTGAGTGAGTGTGTCAGGTGGGAAGCAACCTTGTGTTGAAGCAAGGTTCAGCATCCAACCTACACTGACTCTTATCTGTGGTAACACCCCAAAGGTAGATCTCCGACAGGTCAGCTGACGTCACAATCTACGACAACCTCTCAACACTAATTCCGATACCAGCTTCGGGAGGCAAAGACAGCCCAACCAGCGCATCGCCTTCCACGACACCCCTCTAACATTCCCAACCGCTTGCCCCCCCGCCCCCCCCCCATCCTGAGCCGGACGCAGCACGGGCCTCTCCAGCCAGCTTCGCTCTGCCCCTGTACAAACTCAACGCCGATGGCTCTTTTAACTCTTCTCGCACGCGGCAGTACCCCTCCACACACAAACGCCTACACAAACAAGTCAACAAAACGCTCCCGCTCTCTCTCTCTCTCTCTCTCTCTCTCTCTCTCTCTCTCTCTCTCACCTCCCCCCTGAGCCGCACGCCGCACGAGTAGTTGTGCCCGTGCAGGCGCTCTCTGAACCCTTCGAAGGCCACGAAGTGCGACGAGCTGAACTTGAAGTCCTCCTTGGCGACGTAGACCTCGAAACGCTCCGGTGCGGGAGCGGCGGCAGTAGCAGCAGCGGCGGCGGCGGCGGCGGCGGCAGATTGTGGTGCTGCGGCGGCTTCTGCGGCGGTGGCGGTGTCGTTCTCACCGCCCCAGCGTGCTGTAGGCCAGCGAGGCAAGGCAGGACGAAATGAGGCGAGACGATGCGAGACGCCAACGAAAGGGGCGGAGGGGCTTATGCCATGGCGGTTGGATCGTCGACCACAGGGGGG